GCGCGAATCTCGGGGTCGATGGCGTCACCGATGTTTCGCTTCTTGCCGCCCTGGTACTTGCATGGGCCGATGGGTCGCCCCGAGCGAAGCTCGGAGAGCTTCATGCTCACGAGCGCCGACGGCTTATTCGAGGCCGACAAATGCTCGTCCAAGTCCTGAAAATCCCGAACCAAGTTGCAGCCCAACCGTGACCGGTCCTGGAACACGCTTGCAAGCCGAGCAGCTGCAGCTTCGTCTAAGAAATGCTTCATGGCCATCTCTGCAACCCTCTGCTCGATGTCTACGGCTCTCTCAGGGACGGCCACCGGCATCGGGCTACTACCCGGCCGACGGTTCGGAGTTTGGCCAGCTAGGAGCACAGAGACCTCTTTGCCAGCAATACGCTTTCCATCGAGGTCTTTCTGGGCATCCTGCGCATCCCTCGGATCCTCGTACTCGACGTAAGCGCACCTCTGCGTCTCGGAGACATCGATCCGTAGGATTTGGCCGAAGTCACCAAAGGGTGCCTGTAAGGTGGTCTTCCTTAGCCACTCCTTCGGGATGGCACCGCTGTCCTTTGGCTTCACCTGGAGTGTGACCCCTACCTTGTAGGGGATCGAGCCTCCCATGCCACCCTCGCGTAAGGCCCGTGCTGAGGGTCCGTTCATGGCTCCGGCGACGACTTGTTGTTGAGGAGATGAGTGGCGTACGTCTCTGATATTCCTAGGGCTCTGCAGCTTGTTGCAGTTCGCATGGCTTAGAAACTTGTGCTCATAATGCCTGCCAGTGGTCTGCGGCTTCGCGCTGCCTTTGAGAGAAGACAAGGCACGCAGAATCAAAGCCATGGGTGGGGGCTAACTCAACCTTCAACCGCAGGTGAAGTCGATGAGCATTATCTGCCCACAAAACACAACAGCTTTGAACATCCAGGTCCCTGTGCTCGATGTTACTATGCTCGGAAAGAGGGATTGGTCTGCCGTGCGAGCGGCATGCTTGTTAGTTAGCCTTATCACAAAGACACTCACATGAAATATCACCGTTTCTGTGCAATGGTAATATCACGAGGAGCTCGTCAGCTAGTCTGCACGGTAATCCTTGTAACCAAGTGGTCTTGCACGTTCGCTCAAATGGAGTTATTTGTGGTTATTCCGCAGGCACCGTGGCTGTCCGAAGCTTCATTCAGCTAGACGTTGACAGAGCGAGACGGAGAGAGAGAGACAGACCGAGCGAGCAAAGGGGACAGAGGAAAGGAGGATACACATAAGGGCCCACAACAGCACCCAAACAAAACCGAAAGGTTGGAATATCCCATATTCGCCCCGTCTAAGTAAGCCAGTAAGCACAATCAACAGTTTATGTGTGGGTGCTCTTTCAGTTTTTGGACGCAGATGCATGAGGGTACGCACATACATACACGCAGAGGCAGGTAACCGACAAACAGAAATAAGCAGCACTTCTCACATTGCCCGCGGGCCCATATACTTAATCCCTTAATAGCCCTTTATAGTAGCCCTTATAATAGCCCTTAGAGTAGCCGAGTAGCCCTTGTAGTTTGAAGGAGCCCTATTCTAATTCAAAATCCTCTTCGAGCAAGCCCAGCAAGTCTCGCACCGGTTGCGGCGTGTCTTACCATTCTATCGACTGCCGCCCCAAAACCTTAAGACCCTCAAACCCTGTTACTACGAACCATTGAAGACGCCCTAAGCCGCAAAACTGTTGAAGACCCTTTTGCAATGGGCCTGCAGCGACTCCGCCAGGTTCTGCTCAGACCCTAACGCCCTGAACTCATTTAGTACCGTCCGTCATCAGCTTCGGAATCCTAGGCCACTATGTCAGGAACCTCACAGTCTATACCCTAACCACGAGTTTCGCGCAAACAGGTGCCCAAAAAAGGGGGCTTCAAGAAGCAAGATTTGCGTTGGAAATATAATTAGGTCCGTATTCAAAGAGGGAACTAAAACATAGGTAACAGCTGAATACTCAAAGCCCTTGTGCCCAATAATATGGGTTATAACTCCAGTTATCCTACTTCTAAAACCTACTTAATTATGACTAACCATGAGCCCCTAAACCCTAAACCCTGAACCTCCAAGTAAACCCCCTCAAAAAAGGCCCAGTGACCATCTCTTCGAAATCCGGGTCTGCATCCTCATCGCCTCCTAGCCTCAGATTCGGAGGGATTTCTGTGGCTTTCGGTTTAGGGCGGCTCAGGGCTTTTGGTGCTTTAAAAGAATAGGCTTTTGGGGGTTCCTTGTTAGAATTATTGTATGCTATACCCCCAAGCCTTATTCTAACAATTAAGGCCCCTGCATTAGGGTTTTAGGGTTTGGGGTGCGAGGCAGAGACCATGCGGAGGGGAAAGAGACTGGTGCAACGACCCCCGCAAACACTTCTCAGGCGACCCAAGGCCCCTGGAATCAAAGCATGCCGTGAAGAATTATGGAGGCTCGTCTTCGCGAGCATAAGGCTGAATCACAACATATACCCCCCCTAAACTTCCGAAACCCTAAGCCCTCTACCCCCCCTCCCCCCCCATTTTCTGACCAACGCATGTCGGCGGGGTCGTCGTCAGAGAGTCCCAGCCCAACGGCGAAGCCCCCAAGATCAGGGCGTTTGTAGTACAGGAGCCTAACTAGTTACTAGGTACCAATATTATCTAGGGTTCCTCTAATGTAACCGAAAACCCTATTCTAGTTAATTATTAGGGCCCCTACAATACTTGGGCTTTTGGGGCATCGTCTACAACAACTCTATGGAATTATTGGCTTTGAGAGGGTAGTAAGAGGGTAGTACTACCAAGTATCCAAGCGCGCTTCACGGGCTCATGGGTTTAAGGCTTTTGTTGGGTCACGCATGACATGGCCCGCCGCAAGGAAAAAGTCGCAGGTTCCAGGCTCTGGTGTCAAAAGTTGTATCTGCTAGTAATATACTGTCTCCTCGACGTCGCGGCATAAGTATACTCTACTGTACACTGCCAAACATCTACGGAATCCAAACAAAACCCCCTGTAGAACCCTTCTGGAACCCCTATACAACCTTCATAGAACCCTGTACCCTCATACCTCATAGACCCTCCAATTTTATCGCCCCCTCCTAAACCCTATATAAACCCTTATTGACCCTCTATTTTGTTGCCCGCTCCAAAACCCTAGACCCTTTATAGAACCCTTTTTTGGAACCACTTGGCTGCACAAGGGGCAGGCTCGAGGTGCGAAAGCTGCCTCCCCGAGAGCCAGGCTGGTGTTAAAGCCAGGTACCAGTACTTACTGCGGGGGGCCTTAGTAATTAGACTAGGGTTCCTTTGAAGGGCTCTATAAGGGCTATCACAAGGATTTAGTATAAGGGCCTTAATTTACTTAATATGGGGGCCTTAATAACCGGACGAGGGTTCCTTCAAGGGATCTGTAAGGGCTGCCTTGATAATTGGGAGTTTCCGAAAATTAGGGGCACTTTATCTGGTTTCCTTATAACAAGGATCCTGCTAGTTAGGGTGCTATACTAGGGTCCCTATTTTCGGAAACTCCCAATTAGAATAGGGTTCCTCTAAAGGGGTCTATAAGGGCTACTGTAAGGGCTATCATAAGGATTTACAAAAGGGGCCTAATGATTAGAATAGGGTTTTGGGGCCCATTATGCTATAGTTATAATCAGGAACCACCAAAATAGTATTTGTAATTATTTGGGCCCCTGTATCACTTACTTCAAGTCTTAGGGCTTAGGGTTTTAGGGGTCCTTCTTGAAATACCTTAGCTGCCTTAGCTCAAGTCTGGGGTCGTTTATGTTTGGGAGTTTAGGGTTTCAGGGTCCTTGTAATTGGGTTTAGGGGTCTTATCTAGGACATGTAGAGATGTTCCAATGACTGCGTCCTTCAAGGCAGAAGCAGGATTTGTGGCTCCCGCTGAGACCAGCCTAAGTGTGTTGGTGGGGCAATAGGTTTACGGATTGAGGATTTGCTCTGGACCCGGCCTCCCGTCGGGGATCTTCGAAAAGTATGAACTGTCCAAAAGATGACACAGTCCTTGCGCCGAAAGCTTCTGGGTAAATGTTGCAAAATCCAAGACCTGCTCTTTCGGCATTGCTTTGAGGCTCCATGGCTTCGTCTTGCGATTTCGACTTTTGCTGCAAATGTTGCCAAGCCGTTGACTGTTGACATTTGAAAGCGATTACCGATGGTGAGAAGAGAAATGGACAGTGCTAGAACCACAGCTTCTGCAATGCAACTGCTGCTTGTAAAGCAGCAGTAGCAGTCGTCGTGGCAATCACAAGACTAAGACGACGACGACTACTACTACCACCACCACCACCACCACTACTACTACTACTACTACTACTACTACTACTACTACTACTACTACTACTACTACTACTACTACACATGCTGCTGCTGCTACTACTATTACTGCTACTACTGCAAATGCTAGTGCTACGGCACCGTCGTCTTTCTATCTACTATCCATGTCTCTCTCTCCCTCTCTCTCGCTCTCTTTTGTGCATACATACACATCTACACATATGTATAAATGTATATATACATAACTGATTACACGCTTATGTAGATGTATGACTATGTAAACACATTCATGCATGCATATGTGTGTACTATATATATATATATATATATATATATATATAATTGCACGTATGTACACATATTTTTGGCCGTGCCCCTTCACTCGGCCTGGAGATGCCATCTCCGCTGAGCCCAAAGCAGGCAACCACCCCGGAGGATGCAGATTTAAGGCGCTATGTGAAGAAAAGTCACAGTGTGAGATCCCTTCTGGTGGCATGCGTAGAGGCTCATTGAAGCCTTGCCGGGCTTTAGGGTGGGCATTGCAATGAACCGACGCGCACCTAATTACACCTCTTCCCTGTGGAGCCGCGAATCACGGGAAGCGTCGTTCACATCGGAAAAGTGGGTGTGAGCCCGACACGGTCTACCTGCGCGCCATCCTCCCGCGCCGGTACAAGTTAGCGCGGGCGAGTACATGCATGCATCTGCCACTTGCAAGCTGAGCTCCGTCCTGCGACCGATCGAGGTGCCACTTGCCCATACCTGACGTCGACGTGCCAGGGTCCATGGACTGTTTACCTAAAGTTGCTCTGGGCAACGTTCTACGAGGCTGAGGACGGCAAAGAAAGTCCATCCTTTTGGTCGGACTACTCAAAATGCCTCCATCGGTCGAATAACGTGTTCGTTCGTCTTCGTTCGCTTGCCGGCAGCTGGCCATAGATGAGCAAGAGGCTATAAACTCTAGACCCATCCGTTTCCCCAGTTCTGTTGTGCTGCTTGTTTGGCCTCCGGGCTTAGAAGAAAGCGCAATGCGCTCCAGAAAAGTACACCTGCAAACCCGAAGCCCTACTGCAGAAGCCTTCTACTCCCCTTAAGGCCACTCTTATAGGCATAAAGCGTTATAGAGAGTAAATAATTAACCGGGGTGCCTGCGGAGGTGAACGCAAACCATGCACGAATGGCAAACGAGTGGCAACAATACGCGACGGCGGGCGTGATAGTAGTAGCAATTGAGCACGCGACTGGTGATAAAGAACTGGCGATGGCCTCTTGCAATCTCGTATCACCTTAAAACGTTGTCTTACAATGACCTTGGATGCGATCATCAACGAAACTCGCAGCCAATACATGTTATGGGTAGCCCGAAAACTCGGTTTCCCTTGACTGACGCTTTCTGATCTAGCATGACCGTTCTTCTACCTTCAATCGGGTCCCTTCTCATTCCTCGCAGGGAGCCTCTGGACGTGACAGCGCTACCGTCCTTCTGCAAGGTGATGACGTCTTCACTGGCAGCAGTTGTTCTGTTTAGGGCTTCGGCGCTCACACTCCGACCATCCAGGCGAGGCATGTGAGATCTGATCGATATGGAGAAATTGCGACTGTCTTGTTAGCGTTTAGAGTTTGCCGATGGCTTTAGGCTTTGGGAATACTCTCTCGGCCGGATACGGGTCCCGACTGTAGATGAGGGTTTCCGAAAAATAAGGGTACCATATTTTGGGGCCCTCATATTAACAAAGGACCTACTATTTAGGGTGCCATGTTCCCTGGAATCAAGCCCCAGGCTGGAATTCGGGGATGGTGTGGTACTACTGCTGCTGCTGCTGCTGCTGCTGCTGCTGCTGCTGCTGCTACTACTACTACTACTACTACTACTACTACTACTACTACTACTACTACTACTACTACTACTACTTACTCAGTCTACTAGCGATGACACCTGAAGCTCGCAAAGCGCCTTTTTCGACATACGGCTAGGCCATGAAGCCCTGCAAGCAGTGTGTAGAAGGTAACTGTCTGGTTCTTAGTAGGGAAGGGGGAATGGATTCTGGACGATTATTGGGGATTATATAGGGGCTACTATAGGGATCCACTCCCAGACAGATAAGGCTATAGCCAACATCAGACCCGATGCCCTAAACCGAGGCTCCTTACTACCTTATTGCATCCTTACAGGACCCATTGTGGCCCTTTTGCATCCAGGCCTATTGCGACTGCCGGGTACCCTGAAGAAAGAGGAAACACACAAGACATAATGCCTGCCTGTACCCGAAAAGACCTACCATTTTAGGGTTCCTTATTATGGTTTCTGTATAATATACACTATATTATAGTTCCTTAAAAAGGTACTGTAGGTCTTTTCGGCTACAGGTGTGCCCTAAACTCCTAAACCGCGGAAACCCGAGCCGGTCCCTAGCGGCTTTGGCTTCTCAGGTTGCCCACCGCATGGGCTTGGATGTCGGGGTTGAGGTTTAGGGGTTTAGGGGTTTGGGGTTGAGGGTTTAGGGGTTTAGGGTTTAGGGTTAAGTTTAAAGCCTTGCGGCTGTAGATTTCGACGCTAACACTGGACATGCCTGGCAAGGTCTGTAGCAATACTGGTCTTATCGTTCGCACAGCACTACTTCGAGCGTATCACCAAGTAGACGGCTGTCAACATCGGTCAAAACGCAAAGCCAGACGTAAGGCTTTAGATTTAGGGATTACAGTGATTGCAGTTTAGGGTGAGGGTTACGGCTTGCAGAGCGGGCAAAGCCACAAATTTAAAGATGTTCTAGGGCATTGTCGAGGAGTCGTGAACAACAGCATGCCGTATCGCAGAAATGTGTGCATGGCGTGGCTTTGCACTGGCCGAAAATGTGAGGAAAGTCCGTCGAGCCTCTCCCACAAGTTGGAATGGAACCAGGCGTACCTTGCAACGAGCCACTGTGTACATGATGCACATGGGTGGTTATCAAAATTATGGTCCCTTTTGGGGAACCCTAAATTAGGTCAAAACGGGACCATAGGGTTGGCAAGGCTTTGAGCTACGTAGTGATGTTACTGGATCCCAGTTGCCGAGTTCGGGTTTAGGGTTTAGGGTAAAGGCTTACAGTAGAAGCCAGAAAGTTGGAATATCATTATCGTAACCCCTTTAAGGTAAGTTATAAGGGATCCTACCATTAATCCATATTCCAACTTTCTGGAGTTCCCTTTAACCTTTGCAAACCAGTCACGGCACGGCAAGATGAACCTAAAACGATCTGGGCTACCTGCTTTGCTCACGACCACAAAACAAAGCCCTGGACTTGTGCCAACACTATTCTCCAAGGTTCCGCAATATCTAACTCTACATATAGTAGAAGCCGAAAAGTTGGAAACCCAATAGCCTCAGTGCTGAAGAGTAATGTATGGGGAATCCCAGCACTATTTGGCCTTAATCCGGTTTCCAACTTCATGGGGTTTAGTGCAATGCACCACACTGCTGCTGCAGGTATTGAAATTAATTCTCACACCAGTATTGTTACGATTACTGCTACTTCATTGTTATTTGTTCATGATTGTTTTTTGCTATTGTAGTTGCCATTATTGCCAAACTAAACATGCCATCTTTAGTATTATTATGGTCGCACTACCACTGATATTATCCGTGTTAACTGTTCTCATTCATAATGAATTTGACTTTCATCATTATTCAAACTACTGCTCTAATTTTCATCTTCTTCTAAATGGAGTTCTTGCTGATACGGATGTTGTTGCAGTTGTTGTGATTGTGGTTATTGTCAGCATCATCTTAATCGTGTTCCTGATGGTTGACCTCGCCTGAAAAACAGGAACATGGACGAACTCGGCAGTCAGCAAGTACACCAACTCCGTGCAGGCTTTCTGAGCCACCAACCACTTACCGAAGACATTCTCGAAAGCTCTGCTTGCGGTCCTGTTGTGCCTCAGGTGAACAATCTGGCATTTCCAGCTTTGGTCAGGCAGCTGCTGTGATGCACTTGGGCACTTGCAGTCGGGTGACTTCACACACCACACCCTCCCAGCCTGAGCAGCTCTTTCCATCGATTTCTTGGTGGAGCAACCAACTTTAGCAGCTATTCGAGCATACTGCAACGGTTTGGTGAGCATGCGTACAAACTTGCAAACATTTAGGCATCCAGGTAGCCCTGACGCCAATCACGCAGCCACGCCTGAACCCTGAACCCACCCCAAGAACTCGGGATCAGGCTCTGGATCACCTGACCAGGAAAAAGGCGGATGTGAATTTAGCACTTCGCAGCGCTTCAAAGCCTCAACTTATCTGTAGGTTTCCAAACGGCATCTCAAAACTTCAGTCTGATCGCGTGCAGGTCCGCTCCATGCCCCAAACGCTCAAACCCACAACTTTCATTTCCAGATCAGAAACCACAAAGCTATTACACTTGATTGGGCCTGCAGGGTTAGAAGCTAGACTGAGTTCTTTTTAAGGAACTTAACTTGGTTTTAAGTTAGCTTAGTGAGGAACCGTATTCACTCTAGATCTTCATTGTGATGTCGTAAAGCGAGTTTCTTAAGAACCCAAGCGGTCGTTGGGTCTGTGTGGACCTTTCCAGCAATGTGGCTTGCCTTGTGTGCTTGAACACCGTATTCTACATTACATGGGGCGCTTGGCTCTATAAGCAGTAGGGCTTTGGAAGCAAAATACGAACTTCTATGCAATCTGTGTCTGGTCGGACCTTTTATTCAGGCCTAAATACCCTTTTGTGGACAGTCGGTGGTCGGTGGTGAAGTGCTAGGGTCCCGTGGGCCTAAATGCCCAGAGTGTCGTTGGGTCAAGCATTTCGGAGGAAGGATTCCGCAACATACAGGGTCGTGGAGTTTACAGATCATATTCGGAACGGTCCTTGGGTCTCTGTGGGGCTCGAACACCATGGATCCCCTACCCCGGCTGAAAGCGTTCTTGGCCTCATTGTTGAAGCTCCATGGCGGTCGATTGCCGACCTGAGCATCGGCCAACCTACAAAACCCTTTTACACCTGGACTACGCATATGCCAGGAACTGAGGGGCCGACTGTGCTGTGGGCTCGTGCCACACGGCTACCCCAGATTGCAAAAACTGATCAACTGGTCATCCCAAGTTTCAGGATGCAACGACCACGTGGCTACAACTCCAAGATCCTTAAAGATACCTACAAAACCCTAAACCCTAAACCCTGAAAACTTCGACTCTGACTGCGGCCTACGACCATGAAAAAGTACTGGAGCTTCTGCGATGTGAAGGCATTGAGAAGCAATTCCTGCACTGTCTGGGCTCGACGATGCTGCTTCAGGAAACTTGTCTACTGGCTCGTCTCACACACACACACACACACACAGAGACACACGAAGATCCAGAAAGCTTCGACCACCCACCTTGGCCTCCCGAAACCCTACTGGTACAGCCTAAGCCTGACTGAAGCCAGGGCGGACAGCGCACTTTTCTCCCCGGATGCCAGCCTCGAGTTTTATAGTTCACTGCCCGACCTGACACGAAGCAATATGCTAGAATATACTCTAATACTAATAATCTACTGTGAGATATGTTAGAAGGTATTCCGATGTGCTGTAGTATGCTAGAGCTCACATCTTGCGAGGGGGATTGGGGAAGGGTGGGAAGGGTTCGGAGCCCGGCTTCGGAGGCGCACGCGGTGGGCCGGGTGGCGACTGCGCCCGTGGGCGAGGCGGCTGCGGAGGAGCTTTGGGTGCCGGGGGCATAGTCGGTGGTGGTGGAGGACCCGGTGTCTGAGTCTGTGGAGCAACGGGCTGCTCGGTTGCTTGTGGTCGTGGAGGAGGTTGAGGGGTTGAAGGCCAAGAAGGTTCAGGCTTTCTGGCGTCGTCGGATACCTCTGGCTTGACCGAGAATTCCTCCTCATCCTCCTCAGGACCTGGCAAGGAAGAGGAGAGCAGAGGAGCTTGCACTCACAGAGCCGTGTCTTCCGACCTGAATCCTGAACATGCTTCTGAACCCGACCTTGCATGTAGTACTTCTCGTCTTCTGGGTCCAACCATTCCGTCGGCTCTTCCTTCAACTTCTTCCGCATGTAATCCTGGGACTGCCGCGACCCAAATCCAAGGATAATAGTCAAGGCGTGTCGTTTCTGCCTAGTCACTAGTCCCACAACGAGCAACAGCAAAAGGAACCCCGACAACACAGCGTCCTCTCTTTCCACCGCGCCCCGCAATGATCTCCACTCGTAGTACGGGACATGCAACACCTTGTACCCCATCCTTGTGAGAAGTCGGTGCTTCAGCTTTGTGTATGCAGTGTAGCGCTTTGAATTGGCATAGAAATGGGACGGCCCATCCACTTCGATAGCAATGGGCCGGTCTTCCCCTGTAGGAACGTTGCCATCCTCGTCTGCCAGGGGACCACTCAGTCGCCTCGCAAGACGTCCGACAGCGCACACAGGCATTACAATATAACTGTGCGCATGTATAAAAGCATCGGAGCCATAAATCAATACATATATATATATATAAATGTATACATATATATATATATATACACACATGAATATGTATATGTGTGTACCCGTGTACCCGTCTTCATCATCGTCGTCATCACCACAACCAAAATCATATCGTTATCATTACCCCGTACAGACTTCTGTATATATATATATATATGTATATACACATGATACATATACATATATATGTATATACTAGAAATATATTATGTACATGTACATACGTAATATGAGTATACGTAAGCATGCACATAGGCACCGCATGTGCATCAAGATGTATGTACGTGTCTCTCATCTCTCTGGGGCTCTCTGACCTGGCTTCTTGTATTCCTGAAGGCAAGGGGCAGCCGAAACACGGCAATGTAGGACATAAGACTTGGACTACGGGTTTGGGGCCAGAGTATTTTAGCTAAATAGAACCAATGTATCAGGACTGTGTGAGGGGGGGGTGATATTATCATAGCTGCTGAAACACTAGACCCTTTTTACAACAGGCCTCGTCGTCCAGCCTAAACTCCTAAACCTGTACCCTAAACTCTACACCCTAAACCCCTAAACCCTACACCCTAAACCCCTAAACCCTACACGCTAAACTCCTAAACCCCGAAAAACCCCTACCCTAAGCTTCCTTCGTCTGCTCCTGGCCTGGTAAGATCCTTGATGATCTCGTCTTTCTCCTGCTTTTCTGCCGCTGTCAAGACCTGGCGGCGTAACGAAAGGCCTCATAATTCATCAGAATCCGGCCTTTTGTGGTATATATACAGTATATATATATGTGTGTATATATACATACATACATATATATATATATATGTTTATGTATTTATGTACATATACATATATACATCTATATATACATATATATATATATATATTCGAAACCAACGGCTTCTACCTTCAAGATGTTTTCCTGGCGCCTACACCTGCTTCGCTCCGTCAGAACGCCGTGTACCGACCACGTCAACGTAAGACTTAGGGGCCCTAAGCCGGATAAACTCGGATAGATTGTTCCGCACTGCTTGACAAGCCAGTCGCAAACAGAACTGCACCGACGACGGCGGTAACGAAGATGACAGAGACAAGTTATCCGAGAAAGCGGTCCGTCAAGCTTTCACCCGGGAACAAGTGCAAGCTCACCACGACCACAGCAACAGCAACAGCACCAGCAGCAGCAACAGCACCAGAACCGGCCCCTCAAAGCCCGCAAACACCACAAACCACGCAAACGCCGCAGACCCACAAAGGCTGGAAGAGCTCCAGCCGCCCGAGGGATAGACTGTTCCGGACTGCCCCGCCCCATTTCACAAACTCCGTCGGCCATGGAGTTCCAAGCCTCCTCCCCTCCATCGAGAAGACGCTGGCGATACACTTTCGGAGCTTCGGATTTCCTTGGTTTGGACATAGAGCTAAGATTTTGGGGGGCTATATGGCCTTAGAGTTTTGGTTTCAGGTCAGCTCTCCTTCTTGGTTGCTTGCATGGGCTTTGGGCACGGCGTCCGGCGTTTGCAGACTCCGGGCTTGGCCACTTCCAGAGTTTAGGGAAAACCAGCTCATGGTGTACAAAAGTGGGAGTTTGGGGCATTGAATTCAAGTGAGCCTTGTTCTCATTGATTTGAGGTTCAATTGTTTTGGCTCTACGCTCGTTTGATGCCGTGCTCGAAATTCTTCTGCTGTTGCGTTGCTTTTGTAACAGGGCACCGAAGCGTCAGAGCGTTGATGCCTTTGTGCGTCATGAGTTTCATTCGGGTAGCTAACCCCAGGACTGAAAGCCCACCGTATCAAGCGAGGCCAACATAGCTCAGGCAGCTCGCAAACCCCAGCTTTGTGGGGTGTCATCATGATACTGCAAAGCATTATTTATGCGAAGCACGGCTACGTGAAGATGATATAATCTCAATACGGCCCGTAAAATGCTTCTTCAAGCGTAGCATAAGCACTCATGGTACACACGGCAGTTAGTAAAGAAAGGATCCACGCACTGTCCGTCTCCGAACTGCCACTGCCAAGACCTCATATAATGAAATTCGATCAAGCCTCATTGCTCCTTGTATGCATTAAGACCTATATATATATATACATATATATATATATGAATATAGTGTATATGTACACATCAGGTATGCATTTGTTTACTCAAGCCCCTCGCCAAATTCATGCGGACCAGGTGCGGAGGTCCCGGTGCTGGCGGAGGGACTCAGAGGCTACGGATTGACTTTGAACGCTTTAGGGGCTTAGGGCTGAGGGTTTAGAGTCACGGAATCTAATTTGGGATATTCCGGGGAGTTGGCATTTCTGATCTCAGGGTTTGCGCATACTTAAATGCTCGTAAACGAGGAGCCTTCATCAGCAGCCCGGGAGTAATATTACTAGTACTATTAGTAAGTCTTCAATCCCCTTCATTCTCCTAGCACCCTCCGCCGGCCCTTTCTTTGTGGCTCTTTGGTGTCAACTCTCCCGTGCATAACATCGAAGCCCGAGCTTCGGATTATTAGAAAGGGTTCTCTTGTAGGGCTTCGGAGTTTTAGGGGCTTCTGGCTGTTCGGGTTTAAGGTTTAGGATGAAGGGATTTAGGGAAGTGTTTTGTTGCAGAGCTATGTAGGGGGCTATACGTGGATACGAACTGCTCTGCGATATCCTGAAGCTCTGAAAAACCCTGCATCCCTAGAAATCTAAATCCGGTCCCAAGCCCAGTCAGCCGGAAAGTTAGAGCCCAGAGGCCCGGCGCGGCTGCCAGATTCCGAAGAAGCAGGTTCTTGGCAAAGCGATAAGGGAAGACCCGTCGCCAGCTCAGTGCCATCGCAAGAATTGGGAGAGAACTCTTCTACGCTGCAAGACATACGCCAACCTGTATGTCTCCAGGTCCGAAGCCTTGTTGTCTAGAGCTTTGAAAAACTTAAAGGTCCTGAGCAGTTCGGGTTTTATGGCTTTTGTCAAATCATCGCATCCGTATCTGCAGAGGCATCTCAAGCCCGATATCCCCAAGTATAATAGAAGCCCAAAGAGTTGTCAATGCTGCTCCTTCCGCTTTCTAAGTATACTAGAACACTGACATAGCCCAACACCTAGCCTAAACTCTGAAAGCTGGTAGAGCTCGGGGTCTCGGGTGGGACTCTTCGCATTCCTGCAAGCCAAAGCAGGAGAGCGAAAACCAGGGCCCGTCTTGGTCACCACCGCCGCTACCGCCGTAGTTGCGCTGACGATCCTGACGGTTATCATCGCACTCACCACCAGCAATCGTGGTTATGGTTGACCTCGGTCAGCATCACCATTATCAGATCAATATCACGGCCATGCCACCACCACCACCATCACTTCTACCATCATCACCGCCACATCATCAAGGCCATCATTCGCATCCCTCACTGATGAGAGACAGAAGCCTTGATTTCTGCGCTCAGCCTTGCACTTAGACTCCGAGGCTGTGGGGACACCAAGCTCTCCGCACCCGCAGGGAAGGCCGCAAGGGGTGACTGGCATGTCTGAATCCAGAAAGATGTCTGTTGAAAACCCTTTTGCTACTGGACTCAAGTCTAGCCAGTCTACGACCCGCAATCAGCTTGACCGAGGCCAACATGCAGCACCCAAAACCCAAAACCCTCAACCCTAAGCGTACTTGGAGGCTCATGGTTAGTTATAAGTAGGGTTATAGGTAGGATAACTATAGTTATAACCCACATCAAGGGACTTATAACCCCACTTATAACTACCCATGAACCTCCAAGTAGACCCTAAGCCCTATGCCCTTATAGAAGCCCTATAGATCCCTTTAGAGGGACCCTTAAAGGAACCCTTATAACCCATGAACCTCCAAGTCGTAGGCCCCTGACGCCACCCAGGACTCGCAAGTCGCCAGCTTGAACAAACTCTCTGATGGCCTGGGGCAACAACGGCTACGGGGCAGGGACGGCTACAAGGCATTAGGGTTAAGGGGTTTAGGGGTTAAGGGGTTAAGGGGTTAAGGGGTTTAGGGGTTAAGGGGATAAGGGGTTAAGGGGTTAAGGGGTCAAGGGGTTAAGGGTTTCGACTCACACACTCGCACAAGTCCAACCACACAGTCGATCGCTGAGGGCGCACCCGAGCCACGCCACTGTTCGTGCCGAAGTCGTCGTAGATTAAGTATTTCAACTGCCTGCTATCGAGCAGCGAGGGTGTCGGGCTTCTGGGTGAATGCATCTTGCGGGAGGGGGGTCCTACTTGGAGGTTCATGGGGAGTTACAAGTAGGGCTATAAGTAGGATAACTATAGTTATAGGGACTTATAACCCCATGTATTTAGAAGTACCCATGAAACTCCAGGTAATGTGCAACGACACAATCGATGTCAACATAGGGCCTCATGATTAGACTACACCAGAGCTAGACGATATGGTGATTATGTGGGGATACCCTAAACCCTTACTACTTATTTCATCGACCCAGTAGATAACGCGTACATAATTACAGACATAGATACACACATACATACAGACATGCAGACATACAGACATACATGCATACATACATACATACATACAAATGTATACATACATTAACATATATATCATATGAAGCTATTCTCCAAGTCGGGCACACGATCACGGAGAACAAGCCAGGGACTTGTCATCAGGCGACACTACACAGATGATGACGTCTGATGAGTGGTTCGCATTAGTTTCCAGCATCCATCACATGGTCAATCTTCAGGGTTAAGGGGCAACTCGAAACCCTTTTGTGCAAGTAGCATCTCGGGCACAGTTGCAAAATGAGCCGAAGCTCTTCACCCGATTTTCTCCCTCCAGGCACACCTGGCTGCACCAAAATGCGGTTAACATCGACGGAGGGTTTCTCAAACGCAGAAGGGGCTTTGAAGATGTGTATATAATCTTGGGCACTCTGAGTCTACCACTGAAGAACCAACATTAGAAAATAACAGACTGCGCTGGGCAACTCTGCGTTTGGGATGTCGTCCAGAGACTCAGGGATATTCAAGCCCCTGGGTACATGGTTAAACTAAGCACGAAAGGTAACACCCCTCTAACTGTCGCACAGGGGCTTTGGCTTGCAGAGACCTGGTCTTGCAGCTAGTCAGCTACTCTGTCTCGATGCCCGTAATCCAGGCTGTGGGAAACAGCCTCCGAGCCAAAGCCACAGGCGCTTGCGGTGCCGTGTAGGCAGCGGCTTCCGAACATGACCGGTTCGGTGTGAGCTTCAGTTCTCTTTGTTCCCTAAGCCAGCCTAGTGTCTAGTCTGTAGATACTGACAGAACATTAATGCAGCACACTTGTAACCCTTGAAGCACCAATTGTGCAGCCAGCCTCACGCACACAAAAATTCCCTGGCTTCGTTCTTCCACCGTCCGGGAAGCTATCTGTCACCAGTGTGGCAGGCTTGCGATGGCGACCATCCCTGACAAACAAAATCTTTCTTCCAAGCACACGCAGAAGAATCACTAGAAGCCATCAGCCATCAAGCTTGCTCAGACTGCCACGTCCTGGCAAGCTTCCGGGGCGGTGTCGAAAGAACCGAAGTTCGTCTAGCAAAGCCGGAAATAAAAAGCTCCTCAGTTGAGCCGACCATCGATCCCGCACGTTGCATTTTTGCCGGAGGCCTTCAAGGCTACCGGGTTTTGCAACGGGAAAGCAGGGCCATCCTGGGTTAATTGTCTGTAGGTTTAGGGATTCGGAACCAGGCTTTGAGGTTCTGGATTCTAGAGTCCAAAACCCAGAAAGAAGGCCAATGAAAACACCCCCCATTTTTGGGAGATGTCACAGGGAGGTCAGCTTGTATGCGAGAGATCGAGTCATGTTGTCAGTTTAGGGTATGCGGCCACAAAGATATTAAGGCCCCTACCCTTGTTACCGCCCAGAGCCCACGAGAGGCTTGCCTCGACGGTGAGGCGTGATGGGTTTAGGCTCCGCAAGAACCTTGCGTGCTGATCCACGAACTCAGCTGTCACTAGACGCTGAAACCCTCATCTCCTATCAAAAACCTCTCCGCAAGTTCCAGCTCGCGACGCACCCCATGTAGCCGCCGAAGCAGGGCTGAAGAAGAGTTGGATTAGTGGTCCGGTTTGGGCTTAAGATCTTCCAGTGCGTAGGTCAATGTGGTGCCCCTGCCAAAGCGGCTTGGAACATGCCCGCGCCATGGTGCGGGTTCGCAAAAGGTCCCTAGAAAGAATTCCCAGGAGCTAAATCGCCAAGGCTGAGTCAAGCTGCCACTTTGGCTTTTCTGCACGTGGGGGCACATTCGCCACTTACCTTCAAGATGGCTTGCCATCAGCCTCAGACTACAAAAATGAGCCCGCGCCACTGCATCGGCTCTCCATCAACGGCTTCATTTGGCATCTCGGATTTCAGGGTCTAGCGTTTTGCTCGCGTTTTGATTTGTAGTCGGGCCGCTCTCAGCAGAAGTTGGTTTATGATAATTATGTTGCAAAGGACTCCCCGGGCCACGTGGAGTCGCTGACCAGGAAGGCGCAAGCTAAAGGAGAAGGCACTTGAAGGCTTATCTGGCCATGCCTTCGTGTTCCGTCACAAAAGAAGGCTGCCGGCGCTTGGGCTAAGCCGCCTGCCGGCCCATGGTTCCACAATGTTCATACTAAAGACACTTCACTAACAATCACAACAGTCATGCTACTGCTACTTTTCAGCATAGGCCACACTACTGCTACTACTACGACGACTACTACTAGTGCTAGTGCTCGTGCTACCGCTCCTGCTGCTGCTGCTGCTATTGCTAGTGCTAGAGCTAGAGTGCTAGTGCTAGAGTGCTGGTGCTAGAGCTAGAGTGCTTTAGTCCTAGTGCTAGAGTGGGAGTGCTAGTGCTAGTGCTAGCGCTACCGCTACTGCTGCTACTGCTGTTGCTACTGTTGCTACTACTACTTCTACTACTACTACTACTCCTACTGCTACTGCTACTGCTACTACTACTACTACTACTACTACTACTACTACTACTACTACTACTACTACTACTACTACTTCTACTACTACTACTACTACTACTACTACTACTACTACTACTACTACTACTACTACTACTACTACTACTTACTACTACTACTACTACTACTACTACTACTACTACTACTACTACTACTTACTACTACTACTACTTACTACTTACTACTTACTACTTACTACTTACTACTACTTACTACTTACTACTACTACTACTTACTACTTACTACTTACTACTTACTACTTACTACTTACTACTTACTACTTACTACTTACTACTTACTACTTACTACTTACTACTTACTACTTACTACTTACTACTTACTACTTACTACTTACTACTTGCTACTTGCTACTTGCTACTGCTACTGCTACTGCTACTACTACTACTACTACTACTACTACTACTACTACTACTACTACTACTACTACTACTACACGACCACGACCACGACCACGACCACGACCACGACCACGACCACGACCACCACCACCACCACCACCACCACCACCACCACCACTACTACTACTACTTCTACTACGACTACTAACAATAATAATAGCAACAGAAATAGTAAGAATTAAATGATAACACTTGCTCTTATAACCATTGCAACCACATTTGTACTAAGCAATCAAAGAGTCAGTAATGATACCAACAATATCTATAACAACGCAAGTTAGATTAACAATAACATAAATACTGACACAACTATATACTAAAGTTACTAAACAAACGGTAACAGTCATACTCATAATGATGATGCTTCTAATAACGAGAATCATAACTAGTAACACTAATTAATCGACGCAATACTGTTTACTATTTGTCATCATAGTAACAACAAACATTCATGATATTAACAAGAAGAGTCTTATAAGCCCACTTATAGCTACCCATGAACATCCAAGTAGGCCCTAAATCCTATACCCTTGTAGCTTCCCCATAGATCCGTGCTACTTCTACCGAACCGGGAAGGAAGGCCTGGCTCGGCCTGCGAAGCTGAGTGAACTTTGAAATATGCGATCTCATCTGGGCGGTTGTCAAAGTTAAGGTCCGTTTTTGGGGTCCCTAATTAGAATACGGCACCTAATATTTAGGGTACCCCAAAAAGGGGCCCTAATTTTGACAGCCACCCAATCTGGAAGAATCCTGAGACGTTCGTGCCCGCTGCTCCCGCAGGACTGACGATAACTGTCAACTGTCGTAACTATCTCTGAGCCTCAAAAGACATGTTCTGAGCCCTAAGCATGATAGTAATGAAGCTTGAGGCCTGGGAGCACGTCCACTGGCAGCAATCCACCACCTCTATGAGGCCTTTAGACACGGTTTGGATTGTTCACGTACGAAGCATTCGGGCCTGGAATCGAAAATTACAAGTCGAAAGGCCGCAAACGGTACAACAGTCATGCTATACACAGACCTACAACTCTATCCATCTAGCAATGGTTGTTTGTGCAAGCACGCATATCACAGTTGCAGCCTCTTCAGCTCCATATCCTTCACTTGCAGAGGCCCAAAGAACCGAGAGGTAGGAACGTCCACTTCCTCCGGGGTCTCACGAACATGCTCCTCCTGTAGCGTTCTCAGCTGGGCAAGCCGGTTCTCTTGGATGCGACGAAGTTTCCCCATCTCCGAGCGGGTCTTCGCACGCAGCTTCTGCAGCTCCATCGCTGCTCGCTCACGTTCCCCTCGGGTCGGTGCTGTGTGCATCTCCTGCGCCAGATTTCGAGCAGCCCCGGGTCGGAAGGGTCCCAGCTTGCAGCGCTGGATATACAGGTCGAGTGCGGTGAGGTCCGAAGGAAGCAACTCCCGGATTCCTGGCCCAGATCGCCCGTTGACGATGAGCTGCAAAGCGAGAAACTTCCCATCCAGAAGCGTGTGAGCGCCAGGGGTCTGCTTCGACGGCTCGGGGCAAAGCTTGAAAGGCGGATATGGCAAGAGCTGGATCGGGAAGTTCGTGAGAGGGCACCTCACTTGCTGCTGTGTCCTTGTCCACCAGCGCTTGTCCAAGTCGCATGGCCCAGACTGTCGTCGACCTTGCCGGGGCATCTGGGAGATGTTCTTGCTGGGCAGTGGCTGCACCAACTCCTCAAAAGAGATTTTGGTGGCCGTTGGAGATTCGACGGAGACCAACTCAACAGATGTCTTGGTGGCCAGTAGCGATTCGTTAACGGAGCTGTTTGAGGTCACCTGGCCCGGCTTTGTGTGCAAAGGCTTCATGGGAAGCGTAGATGGCGTCGAGATGAACATCGGCTGCAGGAGCGAGGTCATCTCGGCGGCCGAAAGAGGCGCCGTGGACATAATCCTACTAGACAAAAGGGGAAAGGCTGCCCCCAAAACTCAAGTTTCCAAAGCTTGAGCCATAGCCATTCAGGGGCATTGACAAATTGGAGCAAGATTTTCGGGGGAAGTGTCCACTAGCACATGTAACTGTGTAGCTACTAGAAGGGGTCATTCAGACACCCCTACAGTCGGTTCGTAACTCTGCTACACCTGAACTGCTGAACCCAAAGACCGGTTTGAGCATTGTGATAGCGCGTGTATGGGAGTTTCCTAAAACAGGGGACCCTAATATAGCGCCCTAAAAAAGCCTAAATAGTAGGATCCTTTTTTTTTCAAGACCCAAAATAGGGTACCCCTGTTTTGGGAAACTCCTGTATCGGAAACGTTGGATCCCCTGGGTACACTTCTCGGTCTGTAAGTTTTAGAGCCTGCAGTTCAGGCCGTGGGGCTGCTCTTGTTGCTCCGACTCTATCTCGTGAGTGATGCTGAATCCGTTTCATGCTTGCGGCTAAACTCCTTCATGGTTGGGATAGGATTAAAAATGCACACCTTTATCCCCTATATCGAGTTTAAGTACCCATAAGACATGTAAAATGGTACCCAACTTATTGAGTTTAAGTACCCATAAACAATGTATATAAAATGTTACCCAACTATGACAAGGTAAAGGCTGCGGGCCCCAGTTATGGGCCCCAGTCAAACCAAGCCAGCACGTCGTTTGGCCACACTCCAAAAGTCTCGACGTACCGTACTTAGGGTTTAGGGTTTTGGGGTTTTGGGATTTAGTTTTTTTGTGTTTTTTTTAGGGTTTTGGGGTTTAGGGTTTAGGGTATACCAGTCAAAGATCATGAAGCAGGCAGCCACATGCCCTACCCACAGGCCCCAGAGTAGTTCCTTTTTGGGGTTCATCTTTAGAATTCTCTTAGGTACTCCCAAAAAAAAACTGCTACGGGGCCCCATGCCCTGTTTCGACCCCTGAGCCCCTCATCCTGAAACAAGCAGTTCAATCGGTTTGCAGGGCTCTGGTAAACACGGGGGGAGTCCTGAAGTTCTCCAGCAGCTGTGACGTGTCGCGAAGGACCTCGTTTTCAGCTGCCACCCGGCCATCGCACCCTCAACCCTGAAAGTGGCAGAAAACGTGAGACATAAACATAGAATCGAAGCAACAAAAAGTCCATCCTACAAGCATCCCAAACCAGGTACTCTTGTTTTGGGAAACCAGCGTCTCCCTCTCACTCTCTCTGTCACTCCCTGCCTCTCTTTCTCATGTGTGCTCAGGCAAGCTATCAACCCCCAAAACTGTGACGCCGCAAACCTCGGCTGTTGGCCTTCAGCAAGAGTTGTCGAAATCTGTTTTCGGCATGCTCGGCACCTTCCTCTTCCTGCTGTTTGTGCTCACTCATGTTCGAAGGGCTTTAAATGCCTACTATTCGATCATGGCTCCGTGCCACATACACCCCCCCGTTTACCAAATATTCGAAGCTGTAGGGTTAGCTTTTGGATCTGACAAGCGGCTGACGAATACTCATGTTCTGCATCGACCATGGCCACGTGCACCTCAGAAGGGTCATTCATAGTGCCGGGGTCTACAGAGGGGTTGTCTTGGGGCTTATTTATTGAAACCTAGAAGTCTTATTCAGGGGTCTTTTAGGGTCGTGCCATTTACGGTCCAGAGTAAGGAACTCCCTTCGACTCTTGCAGTCAATCGGACCGAACCCCACCCCGGCTCTTTGAGAAAAGCCGGTGCTCCTCTGGCGTGGAAGAACGCACCAAGCGGATTGCAAACAGTCAAGGGGCTAGGCTCCCGACGCTATTCCGACCTCAGGCAGGAGAAGATAACATCATGCAAACTCATGATATCACGTAAGATACTAATAACATCATACGACATAAGCGAACACAGCCTAAACATTGCTGGTCGACCTTGGTAACAGCTGCACCAAAGCAGAGGTGCCCGGATCTGCATGTTTACCCTTGTACTACATGTAGAGGACGGGAAATCAACTCATCCCGGGGCGACGCAAGCATAGACAGGCCGGCAACTTGTAGTTGCTTTCAACAAGCTCGTCGCCTGTGTCGTGTGGTGAGGGAAAACGCCAGTAATGGCAAACACCCTCTGGCTGCATTTGCGGCCGGAACGGTCGCAAGTCGACCCATCTTCCCATTCACGGCCTCTGAAGAAACGGTCACGGCCACCGTCAGGCTTGAAGACTACTAATAGTGATAATCATAGTGGAGTTCAGTATCTGAAAACGATGGTCTCGGGTTGCCGGGGTAGTTCGATCCACAGAGAAGCTCAGCTTCGAGCGTAATCGTCGGAGCCCGTCCAAGCGGCTGTGCAAGTGAACATAGAGGATGTTCTGGCCTCGCGCAGGCAACACCAGGAACTGAAGCAGAAAAGCAGTACCAACCACATCCTTTTTGACGGGAATGGCATATGTCATTGTCACAGACTTTACTATAACATAATATACTCTAATCAACAAGCTCGGGGATCCAACCCTGCAGCTCGGTCATGTGCTCGGCAGTCTCCGCACTGCCAAGAACGCACGAAGCGCATCGCGAAGGCTTTCTGACAGCATGACCCGCTCTCCTTATGGGAGGCCGAAAGGGGGGTTTAAGACTCTTGGGGTAGGGATTCCTTAATATGAACCCTATTATGGGAACCCTAATCCCTACTAAACCCCATAGGCTAAAACCCCTTGTGGCCTCCTAGGATCTCCGGGCCACCGAGGAAACTCCAAAGAGGCAAGGCCTGGAGCCTAGAGATGCAAGCCTGAACCCAGAGAGCCCAATACTCCTTAATTTAGGACTACAGCTTAAATCGTAATATGAATCCCCTTTTCATTTAAGGCATATTCCTTAATTAAGGGGTCTTGGGCTCTCTGGGAAACATCCTGAGAAGTCTGGGCTCCTTGCGGTCACGATTGAAGTTGCTGTTGGCGCCAAGGAACACCTGAAGACAACTCAGCACAAAGCCAAGACACTCCAGGAACGACTATGACTAGGTGGGGAGAAAGCGCCATGAAGATCATAAACCCCCCCATTGTGATGACAATCACGCTCCAGTGGGAGTGACTACATTGATCCCGAAGCCCTGAGCCCTAAACAGCAGTGGATGCTATCTTCTCCTCTCTTTGCACTTCTGTCGTAGCACGACCCTATTGTCTCAGTCCATCTCAGTTATTCGTTTCTGCGAGCCGCTAGCATTAATGTACCTGCTCCCTAAACCATTTAACTCAACAAAAAACGAAAACCCGCCGATCAGATACCCGCAACGCCGGCTGTCTACTGGCCTCTGCACCTTACCCCACCCGATCAGAAGCTCCCATAATGTATGCATGTACAAGCCTTTGTATGCGTGCAAACACATGCATGTCTGTACATGAGCGGTTTGCTTATGTCCGCTGGTATGTACTTGTGCTATACTTTTCTGTTTACTGCTGCGTATATACGAGAGACATGTGCATCCATATGTCTGGCTTTATGCATCACCACAGAGATACTGTATGAGACTTCAATGCTACCCTGTTTACCACTACAAGCACCTTCACAGACCATCGCTCCAACCGCCAGTGCCATCATGCGCATAATCACCGTCTTCGGCCCAATCCTTCTCCTCTTTATCCATGCCCATCGCCCACATCAGCTGCATAGGGGACAGCGCCGGCAAAAAACCGCCACAGCATCTTCAGCATCACCAGTGCTTAGAACTCGCATGCAGGCGCAACGCGAGCCAGCGAGCCATCACCTGTGAGTTGAGCGAAATCAGAGGCAAAACCAGGGATCGGAAGATCCCGTGCGGTTCAGAAGAATCTTTCCCTTGCAAATCTCTACAATCTCGGGCTGTTTCGACACTCACACTCGGCCTAACTTTTAAACCCTAAGTCCTCAATCCTATAAGACAGCATAGGGACAAGTTCGCAGCCATGTTTATAGAAGCAAAAAACACTGTCACAGGCCAGACTCGGGATTCTATGTAGTCTCACAGGCACTCAGCACAAGGGACCCGGGGCTTTCTTTCTGCGGAATATCGACAAATATTTTCTGAGCCTGCAGCCCACGAGCCACAACCCATGTCTTCGCAGTCTCACCGGGTTCAGGGTGATTACACCCCCCAAAATAGTTTTATGTAAATTGGAGCCCTTGAAACTACAATCTAGCTAATAGAATATGATACAAGATGCTATCGTATGATATGATATGATAAAATCTCAGATAGTATGTAGATTTGTTTAAACAATAAGTTTTTTAAAAAGCCGATACGCTAAGCTACGCAATCGCCATTCCCGCTCTGGAGGGACTGTTGCCTCGGAGGCGTCCACGGCGATGACCCGCCGGAAGATTTCCGAGAAGGCCTCACATATTTCCATTAAGGGGGCTGTCATCTACTATATGTATGTATATATATATATACACACACACACGGATGGCTACACAGGTTCCAAACCACTTTGCAGTGGCTTGTGATCGGGTTCAGGGGATTTTCGGGTTTTCAACTCCAGAAGCTTGTCGGATCGCATGAGGCTGTGGCTTCAGGGACGCAAGGTCTGTTCAATCTGAAGGCTGGCTCGTTTAGGGTTTATAGGGTCCACGAGTTATCACGAGTTTGCGTGAACGTGCGGCTCTGCGCTCATGCAACCATCGGCATTTGCCGTCGAGGTTCGCGAAACAGACGCTGCTGGTGTGTTCCGAACTTCTCCAGTTTTAGGCCATAAATTCTCAAAGGCTTTTTGGCCCGTGCACTCTAAAAGCATGCTTGTAGCAAGTAATTCAGCAGGGTAGTGGTGCTTCTACCTACTTACAATCCTAGAGAAGGTGCTGATACTCACCGTACCTAACCGTGTGCCTTCGAGTAGACCCTCCACAGGCCCATGTCTCGTGAGCTTCAATGCCGAAAAGGTCCGTGAGCACCTATTACCCAGCTAGAAATCTAAATCTCGCCCGAAATTCCGCGCCAACTTCACTGCCCCAACTCGCCCAAAACACGTCAACCTTTCAACCATGTCACGGTTACACGTACAATTGTATATACACATATATTTGTGTATACAGTATGCATGCAACTCCACGCTCCCGTGCAATGAAAGAAGCTTCCGAAGGCCTGCTGAGGCCGTGACCCGAGTACTATAGCCTCGGTAGCTTCCCAACCTCAAAGGGTTTGGAGGGGTTGAGGGTAGGTGACTTAAGATGTATTTTCCACGCTTGGAGGGTTTAGGTAGGGTTTGTAGTAAACCCTGAACCCAAAACCCTAAAAGTCACAAGATCACCGGTGTACAATCAGCTCAGGCTGGGGCCTCAGGCGTTTCCCGGTGTTCCTTCTGTTACTGTTAGGACTCTTTCCCATCCGGTCCTACTAAGGCTAGGGTTCACGGCCTAGGGTTTGGCAAAGTGGGGCATTCAGACCTGAAGAAGAGCTTGCCCTTCAGGGGCTGACCGTAAACCTGACGACGTGTATCTGATTGCCCTAGTTTCCGACAATTAGGGGTACCTTATTTTGGGATCCTTATAACAAGGATCCTACTATGTAGGGCACTATATCAGGGTCCCTATCCTCGGAAACGCCCACATCGGAAAATGGGAGTCCTATTGTAGCACCCGTAATAGTAGGATCCTTGTTATCAGGACCCCACAATAAGGTACCCCCGATGTTCGGCAACGCCCACATCGGAAAATGGGACCCCTGACTCCAGCAAAGTCCAGTCGGCAGCACCTGCTGCAGCGAAGAAGCTCCGCAAATCCTGCAGGAAGAACCCCACAGAGTCCAACGCCCCTTGACTGGGGTATAGGGTTTATAGGGTTTACGAACTTTAGGTTTTAGGGCTTAAGAAAGGTTATAACGTATCCATTCTTCATAGAGTCGTATCCGTTTCAAAAGTAATTACACTGGTTGCTCTAGGTTTTGTGTCACTCGTGCTCGACAATTCAGACGAGGTGTATGGGAGCATACAAGACATCAAGCGTTCACATTAGCTCTAGGTTTACTTAGGGGTCCTGAAACTATGTTACAAATCTTGTTGCGAGTCGAACAGGACCTCCGTTGCAACTTCCGGAGCACGCACCATTGAAGCGGAAAGAGGCATCCCAAAATATCCCAAAGTTTCTTCCTCTGAATCTGAGGAACCGTCGCAGAGCAAATAGCTTCGGAGGTCTCCGATCTTCGGACCAAAACTAGCTGCGCGTCCTTGCTAGGCTTTACACGATTAGACGCCCACTCTCGGACAAGCTGGACGTGGCGGGTCAGCGTCATACCTAACCTACAACTACCTTGCTCTTTCTTGTAAATAAATTATCGACTGAGCGACTCAAGTGCAGGATGTCTGTATTGGGTCCCTGCATAGCTTGCGCATTGCAGCTTCAGCTCCCATATGCTCCCATGACAGCAAGGACGCAAAACCCAAGAATACCTCTGCTGCATTCAAGCTCGTCAAGACACAGAACGACCCATCAAGCGACATGTCTGCACGGCGGTTTTTCATCCGCACTGCTCGATTGTCTTGCGAATTCGCTCTTCGCCCACGTCCGCAATGGTATCTCCATTTCGCCTGATCGCAAACACGCACAATCCTGATGCCCGGCCCTCGGAACTTGCAACCCAGGCTCTTTCTTGCGTAATGGCATAGCGAGTTCACTGAGGTCGTTAAAGGGTTTCTTCGAATTCGTAACCTGAAAAACTCTCCGTTCCAGTGATTCTACAAAGTGCTCTGAAACCCGAAGAGAGTCTTTCTCTAAGTTTGGAAATCTTGGGCTCCCGACACGTACAACCCGTCCGATGACAAGGACCCTTAAACCCCCAAACCAAACACCTGAACCGCTAGCCCGCTAGAAACCCCAAATCCTAAGCCCTAAACCCGCTAAAGCAACAGGGGCCCTGATTTAGAGAACGTCCCAAGTGACCTGTGGATCTCGGCATCATTCGCCTCTTCCAGATCTCGTGTTCGAAGCCTTTCTTTTGGTTTGGGGTTTTAGGGGGGTAAGGTTTTCGGGTTCAGGGTCAAGGGATGTTGCGGGCTTAGGTTCGGGCTTGGGGTTTGTGGGAAGTTTGGCAAGGGCTCTAATTAGACAGTTTTTTATGAGGGTTCAAAAGGATTTTATACGTTTCTGTGGGTTCTTGAGGGGTGTGGGGTTCTAGAGTGGCTTATAGGGTTTCGGAGTTTCGACTCGCACACCCGCACAGGCAGGCGCGATTCACGGCTTTTGGTCCTAGCTTCGGGGTTGACGCTCTCACACTCGGACTCTCTAGCTGAGGTCTCTCGGTTCTTCAGCTGCGGGGGTTCAGGCTCTAGGGTCGTGGGGTTCAGGGTTTTGGGTAGCTCTCACATGGTAAGTCTGCAGACTAAATGCGCAGCTGTCACGACACAAACCTGAACTGCAGCAGTCCTCAGCAAGTTTCGGGATTGGGAGGTTACCATCCCGAGCTATATCACATCACAGCCCTGCGAACTCAAGTTGCATTGTCGAAGGAGTGGGAGGAGCTTCCTGCCAGGTAACTGCCCTTGCCCTTGCTGCCCGAGAAACCTCTGAACCCGAAACCCTAAACCCTAAACCCAGCCCCCTAAACCCCTAAACCCTAAACCCAGCCCCCTAAACCCCTAAACCCTAAACCCCTAAACCCTAAACCCTAAAAACTCCAAACTGCTCCACTCTTCAGATGCAGGACTTTGCAATCCAGTCCTGCATCCTGCCCGGAAGCCGAAGGCACTAAGCCCGCAACAAAAAACTCGAAGCCCGCCACGAAGTCCAAAATCTCCAACTACTACTATTTGCTTAAGAACCCACCAAAAAATAAAAATGATAATCCCAATATTATCCCTATAAGGAATATATTTTGTATTTTTTGGGGGTTCTTAAGCAAATAGTAGACTAGTGTAGTACCCCTAGTAACCCTTGCCGGCAAGAATAAACAACCCGACTACAGGAACCCTGTTATACATATCGCATCATTCCATCCCTGAAGCTCTCGATGACCGAGGCGCAGGTGCAACGCCGGTCGCGGCGCCGAGGAAACCACTTGCTCGGTGTGGTCCGGTGGTGTAGGCAGTTCGATGAAAGACTCCTGCGTCAGTTGTAGATCAGGGTCTTAATCGGGACCCATTGCTGCCGTAAGACCCCATATCTAAGACCAATGCCCCTACGATTTGTAACCCCCCTTCATGCATCAGGGCTTTTCTCCAGAATTCATTTAACAAGTAGAACTGCACAATCTCGACCCTAAAACGCATGGCCCCGGACCCCTCTGGCTGTCTTTCTCGCCAAGAATGCTGACAAAACCCACAATCACGCACAAAAACGTGATCGAGGAGCTAACCTGTTTTCTCTGGACTTCGCGCCGTCGAGGGGCTTGCCACAAGGGCCCAGAGAGCGCAATACCCCTTTGTTAAGGCATATACCTGTTCGTTATAAGGAGATTCCTTTGTGTGGTTTAAGCTATATTCCTTAGTGAAGGGATATTGGGCTCTCTGGGGTCTAGTATCAGGGTGATCCAATCGGGTGAGGGTACCATGCGCAGCGCAAGCGAGGCCTCTCTTTGCTGCTTTGGCTAGACTAACAGTATTGCCGACTCGACCATCGGCACAACCACGACTGCGACTGTTTGTTTGCGATATCTCCCGTGGTCAGACCCGACTAGTTACTCCTAACAACACGACACGTCCCGGCAAGGGGAATCAGCATTTTGGACCTGCAATTTGCCCCAACGCCGCTTCATGGCTCTTCTAACTCGTAGATAGTGTTGCAGCACTGAACAAGGCATGGTACCAAAAGAGGCCAGTAAAAAAGCTCTCGGAGCCGGCGGTGAAGCCATGTGGAACGAGAACCTCCAAGCATCCAACGATGACACACCCTGCCTCGCCTCGCCGCTCCCCAGTCTTACCTGCGCACTGTTCTTTCTCAGCCTAAAGGTCGCGGAAGGATTCGCATCAAATGCTCAAGCACACTGCTGATGAGGAGGGCAATCTACACCACGGCTTGCAGGGTATTCGAGGCAATCTCTGCTTGGGACAGAAGCAGCAACACTAGGAGCAACGGCAGCAGCAACAGCAACAGCATCCAAGGGCGGCCACGACAATTTGCTGCCTTGCACATGGTAGAGTACAGAAATGCAAGCAAGCATCCAGCCAATAAATAAACCCATACATATGCATACACATGCATGCCTGCCTGCCTGCCTGCCTGCGTGCGAGCGTGCACACACACATACATATATGCATAGACACATATGTTCACTGCTCAATACACTACACTACACCAATGTACATTACACCACATAATGTTACATTACATACAGATGTACATGATGTACACACAGGCGTACATATATGTGTGCATACATACACGTATCTGCCTACCTACCCACATACACGCGCGCGTACGACATGGAAGTATTGCCGAGGTTGCAGTAGTCGATCCACGTTATATCTGAAGAAGGCTCGTGGCATGGATGCTGTTCCCGATTTTCCCCTACAGTGGTAGTCGTTGAAGAAGTGCTAGCGGCAGTGGAAGCAGCAGCAGCACTAGAAGTGGGAGTAGAAGCATTGGTACGGGCAGTAGTGGTAGTAGTAGTAGTAGTAGTAGCAGCAGCAGCAGCAGCCGAAGCAGTAGTAGCTGCAGTGGCAGTGCAAATTCGCAGCAGGGGTCGCCGTAGAGTAGTAGGAGTACCGAAGGCAGCAGCTGTAGCAGTCAACGTGGTCGGATCAGCAGGAGGGGCTGTGGCAGCAGCTTCAACGGCTGATTTTTTCATTGTGTGTTGACTATTGCTTGCTTCTTTTGAAGTTGTGTCAGTGTTTTTTGCTGCTGCTGATGCTGTTGTTGTTGCTGCTGCTCACGCTCACGTTCACGCCACGCTTTCGCTCGCCGCCCCGAAAGGTATGCACCTTTCGCCCGGGTGGGGTTTGGTAGTTTCGGATGTCCAACTTCGGGAGGGAGCCAAACTCACCAACAGTATTTGCGGTGTATTTCCATCTTCGATTGCGTGTTGCGATTGCGGTGGAGAGGAGAGGGGTCCTCCAAATGCTGTAATTTACAGCCCTTTCTGGTTTACGATGCTGTTCAACACGCAGACAACTGCGGCATTTATACCGTTTTGCTCGCATTCATCTTTGTCGTGGCATTTTGTCTTGGGGGCAAAGCATCCATGGCCAAAGCCTGATGACGTCCATTTCCTTTTGCCTATTGCGTTCTTGGACAGGCAGAGCGTCCATGGCCAGAACCTGACGACCGGTGCTTTTGTGCTGTTTGTTAAAGTTTTTTTTGGCTATGGTCAGGGTTTGCTTCCGTGGGGGGGTGGGGGGTTGGGGAGGTGGGCTTGCTTCCGTTCTTGGTCCACTGCCTTTCGTCGTGCATTGCGGCGCCTCTCACTTGCCCCACATTCATGTGCTAGACAACAGCTGTTTTAACACCGCTGTGAGCCGAAACCACAGTGCCAGCCAGGTGCGTTCCTTTAATTGCACCAACCTTTCGGGGTTGTTGTTGCTATGCCCGCCAAGCGCAAAGCACGCTCGCGCAGCGATAAAAAGAAAACTACTGTTGTTATTGCTGCTGGTGGTGGTGTTGTTGTTGGTGGTGTGGTTGGTGTTGGTGTGGCTGGTGTTGGGTTGGTGTTAGTGTTGTTGTTGGTGTTGTGATTGTTGCTGATTTTGGTGTTGTTGTTGCTGATGTTACTGGTGTTGGTGTTGTTGGCGTTGTCGTTGCTGATGTTGGCGTTGTCGTCGACGTCGCTGTGGATGCCACTGCTGTTGTTGTTGTTGTAGCCGCTATGGATCACAGCAGGCTGTGTAGCTTTGCTAACAAGGCTCTGGGTACCAACGCTAGAGGCTCGCAACGTCCCCCTTCTGCGAAGCTTAAGGGACCGTCCTCTTTTCGAGCCATAGTTCTTCCCGGAGCCGCGTGCCGCTGTGATCTACCGGGTCCCAATTCCCGGGCCTCTGTCTGCAGTTACACGACATGGGCAAGAGGTAAGCGGTAGTGGTTTTCACCTTTCCGCAGGGTGAAGGGAGTCGGATTGAGTTCTCTCTTTCCGGCGAAACTAGCGGACGGCGCAATTGCCAATGCACCAGCATTCTTTTGATAGCATTCGCAAGAAGGCCTTTCGCAAGGCTTGCAATAAGGTACACAGAACACAGGAAAGCATCCCGTACCGGAATGGTACGTTGACGCCTGAACATCTACGCCGCAGTGGACTTACCCCGCCCTCCCCTCCTCCCCTCCCATGTGCAGATTAGCTCCACGCATCCTTCAGCTCCCTCAGGCCTTACTGCCAGTTTTCGCTCGCGCCCGAGAGGTGGACGTGCCAGCAAGTCTCTCCGCGTTCTTTCCTGGAACGCTGGGCACCTTGGCATGCAACAATGGGCAGAAGTGAAGACGTGGCTTCGCACGGAGGCCCAGCATGTCTGCGACATTCTGGTCTTACAGGAAACTCATTGGAGTGAAACAGCAGAGTTTGATGTTGAGGGTTGGCACTGCGTGAGCTCCGCCACAAAAGGGGCTGCCCGGGCACCCAAAGCTAAAACTGCTCCAGGGCAACGCTCCAAGCAAGGCGCTGCCACGCAGCCAGCTGTTCATGACACAAGTCGAGCGGACGGTGTCATGGTTCTCCTTTCTCCTCAGATAGACAAGAAACGGATTAGGTGGCTCTCTGCCTCAGCAGGGTCTACCAAAAATCCGAGGATGATCACAAGGACCTTAGCTGGCGCTCCGTGATCACAGGCAAGCTTGTCGTCCACCCCTCCGGCCACCTGACGATGGTCACGGTGGATCGAGCCGGCCAAGAGTGCATCCCAAGCTCACAACCTGGCTTGGGGGTCTTCAGGCTACCATCAAAAACGGTGTCCCCTATGCTCTCTTCGAGGGCAAGCGGGTGGCCACCCAGGATGACTTCCGCCTCTTCGCCACAACTCTGCAGACCATTTATGAGGCGGCGACCAAGAAGGCACATCAGCCTTCCCATGTCAACATCCTTCCGGCTACTCGTGAGCGGCACCCCACCATTAAAATTACTCATGGCCAAGCCCTGGACAGCAAGCTGAATGTCATTCGGAATGTCACAGGCCAACAACTTCGCGGTCGTCGGGACAAGCAGGCTGAGTACAGAGAGAGTAAGGAGTACAGAAGATCAGACCCTTATGGGACTTCTTATGGGTCTTCCTCAGGCCAGTATTCTCGATCAGCTGGGTCACAGGAATGGCCAGCCTGGGAGGAGGACTCCTATGCCTCAAAAGACTCCGGACACCACGGCTACTACCGCTGAGAAGCTGCAAGCATTGGTGGTACGTCACCGTCTCACCTTTTTGCATGGTATATCTCCGCTTCGCTTATATACGGGCAACGCCCAATCTGATGCCAGGCAACGTCCTGCCATTGTACATCTAGTGTTGCCGAACGGCAGGCTTTTACCTCAGCTACAAATCATAGTCTACTTCTGCCTTGCCTGCCACACGGGCAACGCCCATTCTGATGCCAGGCAACGTCCTGCCTTTGAGCATCGAGTGTTGCCAAACGGCAAGCCTGAACTCGTGCCAACTCGTGCCAATGGGCATCGGTCACTTTTGCATTGCTTGTGTCCTTGAGCGGAGCACAAATTTGCAGGAAGTAGGCTTGTATTCACCACTGTTTGTGCAAGGGGCTGATGGACGATCATACAACTCCCTAAGGCCTCGAGGCTTCAGCAGAAGACGTAGTCAAGAACCTCTTAGCGGCATGCTCCACACCCGAGACTTCCCGCCGGACTTGTACGTCGTGGCACTCGAGGAGTACCTCTTGTTACAGGCCATGCATGCTCTGGCTGCTCGGCCGCCGCTTTTATCAATTCCGGCAGAGGCGGGGATGCTCTCCTACAATGATCTACTACATCTGGCCTTGCAGACCTTTGGACAGGAACGGATGCGGGAATTGGCCCGCTACATTGCATGCCTACAGCCATGCCTCCCTCGCAGTCTTGGCACGCACATGCCCTTCCCCTACAGCGAGTTGGACGATCAGGCCCCACGCGCTGAGGCCCTAGCCTGGCACCTACTACAGGACGCTCAATCACCGCTCTGGTGTGCAGTACGTACAGCAGTTCGTGCTCTAGCATGGCGCCCGGGTCGCCAGCGCTTCTCTGATGGCAATGCTAACAATGTCACCTTCGGAGCCTTTGCTCGAGGACCTCATATCGGTCTTTGCGCTGACACAGTTCGGCACGGATCTTTCTGTCGCCTACTCAACCGACTGATTGAGCACATCTGCCCAGACCACATATGGAGCACTTTCTCATTGAATTACAACGTCCGCACGCCTCCACATCGAGATCAAACCAACTCCAAGACGGGTACGCTGCTGCTCAGCCTTTCTCACCATGATGAGGGCTCTGTCTGGGTGGAATCCTGGCATGGCACTGACTACGAAGAAACCCATCTTGGTTTGCTGAGAGGTCGCCCTTTTAGTCTTGCCTTCCAGGCGCTTATTTTCCCTGCTCACAATCATGCTCATTGCACAAGAGGCTGGAGCTTAACCGATCGCGTCACGTTAGCGGCTTACTGTATATCTAACCCTTGCCGTATGTCGAGTGAGCTGAAGGCCACTCTGAGCGATCTTGGCTTTCATCTTCCGTAGACCCTGCCACTATTTCAAGTGCGCTTGCTGCAAGAGCGGCTTACACCTGCCATGTACGTCGGGCAACGCTCGCTGCTCTTCACCAAGGCAACGCCTGTCAGCAACACAGCCGACTGACTCATAGTCGACATCGGTCTTAAAAGGCACAGTGCGTCAACCGCCAGAGTGTGCCATGTTGATACCGATGCAATCCGCTTTTCAAAAAAGAGGAGCTACCTCAGTCAACAGCACTGCAGCAGATCCATGTGCTTATCCAATCTTCTCATTCATGAGTGCACCAAGCTGCTTTATCGAAGCAACTTTGCCATGTGCTGATCGGGTTGAAGACACAACACAACAAGCTCGCGCCAAGGCAACAGCGGCCTTCGTCGCTCTAATTGAACAGCCATAGGCTGTAAGCCACCATTGCGACCTTACGGCCCATCGCCTCTGATTGAGAGTGACCATGAGTGGGACGCCACGCAACAGGCACTCTGAGTGACGGCCCGTGGGGTACGGCTCATCAATCATTGGTTCGTGGACATGGGACGCCATAGTCCACACTGAGGGTGACGGAGGGTTTCTCACCCATCTAAGTGACATGAGCTGGCCTCTGATGTAGCTCGTAGCTCGTAGAGTAGCCTACTACAGTCAGACTGCTTTCAGACTCCAGGCCCAGGCTCCTTGCATTTCTGCTCTCAGCTCTTTGCTTAGGTACAAAGGCAGTCTCATACGCCCGCAATGAGCAGAGCCCGCTCGCTCAGCGTCCAATTGTTGTTGTTGTTGTTGGTGAATGCTGTGGTTGCTGTCGTGGCGGCTGTAGTCGTTCATGTTTTGGTGAAGAGTGAAGATGGTAGTTAATGGCAGCGATGATGGTGAGGACGGTGTTGTAAACTCTTGTCAGCTTCACCCTGGGTGCCCGGGTCGTGCTGCTCCTTAGAATCTGTGCCTTCGCCAAAGGCTGCCCGCTCGCCCCAAAGCCGGCCGCCGTGTCCAAAACGGTCGCGGCATCTGCGGCAGGGAGTTGAAAGGTTCCCTTCGAGAGCTTGCCAAGAAAGGTCATCGACAACTTCTACTCAGGGAGCTGCAACTGTGGCCACTGCCAAAGGAAGTGTGGTGCATCAGCTGCTAGTGCGACAAGTTGTCAGAACCACTGATGCTGCTGGCACTTGGACCCTTAAGGCCTTAAGGGTGCTATATGGGGTTCTGCAATAGGGCTCCCTTCAAGGATCTTAAAGGGTACTAAACTATGGGGGTTCTATACAGGTAATTATAAAGGCTCCGATATCAAAGTAATAGTACCCTTACAGATCCCTTATAGACCCCTTCAAAGTTTCCTATTCCGACCATTTTGGGTTCCTGAAGCCACTTCCGGCCTCCCCCAAAGTCGATCACGTCGCCTTTCTCGAGGGTCTCCGCACCTCCGTCGCAACTTAAGATGCTAATTATATTAGGTTATGTCATTTTACGCTATCATATATTATTGAATACACCATTACATTATATATTAACAAGTGCAGTTGACCTGATATGGTCTTATATTATCTTCAGTTACGACAAACGGTATTGTTTAGATTTTGTTATAATATACTATACTGTAATAACGTGTATAGTGTATACATTATATTACGCAGTTAGCAATGCAGCCCCGCTCTCTCGCCGTATCTCTCTCGCTCTCTCTCCCTCTCTCTCTCTCTCTCTCTCTCTCTTTCTCTCTCTCCGCCGACATGATCAGAAGGAACGAAAGGAATTAAAGCAAAACCAGCTTGACTTGTGGCGAATAAATCACGGCACAAACATCACTGACACAAAAGCCGCGGATGAACTTCCGAGTGTCACTCGCCCCACTCACCCACTGAGTCACTATCTGCAGATCTGAACTGAATTCATGTCCCAAACTAACCGAAGCTGTTGCTTGCTGGAAGCCGTAAAACCAAAACCTTGACAGCCCGAAATCAGCACTCAGACCCCAGCCACGTCCGTAGGAGGGATGGAAGTACACAATGTAGAGGTCCTGTTCTGCAAAGATGTAGCCATTTGACAGCTCTGTGTCGTAGAAGGCTCGGAAGTCGTCAAAGGACTCCCATTCCGGCACATGTGGGCAAACCAGCAGGGTAGTTGCTGGCTGGCCAGGATCGATCTCCTTTTGAGCCACAGTTGGAAGTCGAACCGCTTCCATTGACAAGTCCTCTAACACTCCCTCCGGGGAGATGGAGGAGCTAGTGACAATGCGGACCTGCTGCGCCTCATCCGTCGGGCGAGCATAGGGGCAAAAGTTATAGCCAATGATAACATCGTCCAGCCAGCGTCGAATCGCTATCACCTGAAGCCCCAAAAGCTCTGGCTATGTAGGGTTCATTGCTATGACGTCCTCCTACATACATACATATATCTATATATATACACATACTGTTACACTCAACAGATCCCACACGTGACGGCTTCTGCGGTTACAGGCACGTGCTCGTCGTTCTCAATCACCGCTTCCCGACGACTGCGGCTCCAGCCGTGACCACGCAGACGGGAGCACAGTAGCAAGGTCCCACCTTCGGTCGGGGCTTTCTATGATGTATAAACATATGTATGTATGTATATATATATATATATATATATAGATATTTGTTTATTTATTTATTTATTCATTTAACTGTAGGTTATATGTGATTACTTACTTGTCTATACATACGTATATACAGATAGAATATAGGAATATAGGATATACAACCAGATTATGTCGTTACCGATACAAGGTTTCGGGGTTTAAGGCTCCCAATAATTTAACTCAGGAACTTTGCCATTCTGGCAAGATTTCAGTCAGCGTGTGCAGACGGCGCAGCACGATTGTGCATTCTGACGTGCGGGTCTCCAGTGTGAGGAGCACACATGATCACCCATGTGCAGAGGAATCTTACACCATGCAGCACGGCTGTTGCAGTGAGAGGTGAAGAACGAATGGACAAAAAAGGGCGCAGCATTCGGACATAAGCGGGTATGTCCGAAGCCCCAAGCCCTCACAGCCCGACCTGCCAGCGCCCATGAGCCGAGGCCCTGCTTCATGGCAGCCCGCCGAAGGCTCCTCTGCTGTGCTCCTTTCCGGGAGAAAAATACAAAAGCCATGCAGGGTCTAGGGTTTATGGCAAGATTGATGCTTGGGGTTTCTTCGGCTTCGTGGGTCAGGAGTTTTGGAACGCACACGCGGACGAGCTAGGCTGGACTCGTGAAGGCCTGACCCAGGACCGTGTTGCAGTCGTGTGAGCGAATAAAGATGACAGTTTAGGGCTTAGGGAGTTCATGGTATAGGGCTCAGCGGGTTTTCGACGCTCACCCTCGCACAAGGCAGGCAAGGCTCCATATAGTCCACAGGATCTCAACTAGCGAAGCGGGTTTAGGGTTTAGGGTTGCCTGACCGAATTCTACAGTCCTACGGCACTAGCTGAAGAACAGCGGTTTGCCCCAAGAACCTACAGGTCATGACACAGGGGCAGGCTGTGGAATCCAGCAAAACATGTACGGGATTAGGGTATAAGTACAACACCAACACCAAATACGAGCAACAGTGACGCTTACCAAATGAGATGCTTTAGAAAACGCAATCTGCTACACCTAGCCTACAACGATCTTTCATACGATCTTTCATACCAGTCTCATTACGTGATGCCACGACTCAGGAGCAATGATTGACAAGGACAGTACTACACTACCTGCAAGTACCGCTGATGGTGCAAGAAACACTGAAGATACTCTCACTAGATACGGGAACGACAGTAGTCGCACGAGTCTGCCCCGTTCTGACTTCCCGCCTGGTGCAACTGCTGACACCGCCCAGGCTGCTCGTGTTCTTTGCCACGACAGACCGGTGCCAAGTAGGGTCGGCATCGGAGAAGTCTGCATTGTGCCGCGTGCTTCGACAAGGCCCTCCGTCTGAACTGTATGACTTGTTATATGGGGGTTTCCAAAAATAAGGGACCCCCAATTTAGTACCCTAAATAGTAGAAACCCCCACATAAGGTACCCCTAAGGAATTTCCATATGCGACATTTAAACTTATTCCTCCCACAAGCAGAATCAGGAACTGCTGCTTGAACCATGTGGCACAGGGACAATCGGTCAGGACGGTCAAACACATTCAGTAGAAACATGTCTAGACTGAAGAAGTACTGATATGGGACAGCGAAACATCAGAACCAAGATCAGCGAAACATCAGGCCCAATGTGCGTGGAACACGTAAGGAGAACTAAATGTATGACTACTCTGGGCAGTAAGTCTGCTATGATTCGTGCTCGGGCCGGTAAGACCTCGGTGATAGACTGGGTACAGTTACAGTTGGTGTCCTGTAACCACCGAAGACAAGTCTTGCTGTTAACTCGTCCTACTCAGTTACTCTGCACAGCCACATGGGTGAGGTTTCTGTTGCTTGTCTTCTGGGTTGGTTGCCCTGATCTCGACTACTGCCACTGCTTGATCATGCACGAGTAATTCGATGCCAACTGGTGTTCATGGAGCTACAAACTTCCTGTTAACGAGCCACCATTGCTTTCTCCCTGTCTTCCGCCGGGCATGAGGGGCTGTTGAGACTTCTCGGCCACTAGGGCCCCCCCCATATTTTGTGGGGACTTTGGAGAAGTGTGAGAATGTTGTTGATTTTTTCCCCCGGTTGATCATGTAAATCCCTGTCTCTCTCTCTCTCTCTCTCTCTCTCTCTCTCTCTCTCTCTCTCTCTCTCGCGCAATGGCATCGCACATGCGCCGTAACGGTCATGATTGAGCATCTTGCTTTTCAACTTGGCAGGAATGCCCTGCATCCTGTTCTCCACTGCACATTGCGCATACGCTTGCAGAACTGAGTAGTAGCAACTGATACGGACTTCGCTGCTACTTCTGCCAACAAGACGACCTACTCTCACACCAACCACTCCCAGGTGTTACTGCTAGCCCCACCTCCACGACCACAACGATGCCTACTTCAGTACCGTATACGACTGCAACTAGCGCGACTTCGAGTTGCACTGGCAGTATTCTCGCCACCAAACTGAAGCCGTGCCTATGCCTAGTGGCCTTGCAGGAGACTGAGTCCTGCTTCATCTTGGAGGTGGTTGTCCAAAAGTCATCCTCTTTGCCTGCTGCAATTCAAGAAACGCCGCGGCTGCTCTCACATGAGAAAGAGACTGTGCCAGCTTCTTGTATAGTAGGCACAGCGATAGAATGAGCGGGGGCGCGTGCAAACCCATTGAATCGTGGTGCGAGTCCAACCTGTGCTACTTGGCTGAGGTCCACGGGCTGCTTGCTCGGTGGCTCACTGTTAGCTGTGGACTTCTTTTACGATGAGGCTGCCGATGCCTGCCGCATATCATGGAATTTGCTTGAATACAGTAAGGTTTGGCCACCCACGCCGCCAACATGGGGCTTAGGCCAGCTCTTGTGTGTGTGTGTGTGTGAAGCACGAGGCACTGCACCAGTAGCATAGTCTTTAACCCGGAAGCCCCGCAGTGTAAACCCAGGCAAGGTCTACTGACGAGTCTGCTGGTTCCTATATATGGCCTATGCCCTGCAGTGTAAACCCTTCACCCAGGGCCATTCAGACTGAGTCTGAGAGTTTGACTGATGTCGCCCGCAGTGGTTGCCCACCTTTGCAACTCAGCGGGGTCCAGGGTTTGGGATTAGGACTTAGGATCTTTTATGTTTCAGGCACAAGGGTCTTAGTGCAATGTATGGGGTCAATAGGGTTCAGGATTTTAGAGGCTTCGGCTTCGGTTTTCGGGCTCTGGTTCATTTCTTAGTTAAAAACGGGACAAGTCCACAGATGAGGTAGGACTGGCACAGAGGTAGACAAGCTCCCAAATACACCACGAGCGTTTAGGGCTTAGTGCCTGTGTGCAGTTTAGGCTTCAGTGTGTGCCAATCCGAAGAGAAGTGTTAGCATCGTCGTTCCTGCAACTTCGATGGAGCCGCTACTACCCAAGATGGTCACATGTGGTGTCCCAGCCTGGCACTTAGGCTTGGGGAGCTTATGGCCTCGCAGGGTTTAGGCCGTTACCAGGGACTCCGGAACAAGGAGCCTTTGTTCCTTGGTGGGAGATCTGGTTTGCCCTGGATTTGAGGCCGGACTCTTAAAGAGCACAGAACATGTCTACTTGCAAGAACACTAGTATAACAGACCCTTACCTTGCACAACGTTTCGCGGGCGGTTGTTCTTCCTGTTGACCCGCGGCTTCCCTCCGCAAGTGCCCCGACGTTAGGGCTTTTGGATTCTAGGGTTTTGGGCGTGGGGTTTCGGGCTGACTCGGGGTCTGTTTTTTTGTGCGTCTAGGGCTTTGAACTTTGTAAACCACGAGCCACTGCAATCACAGTCCCAGCTGCAGAAACCTGACCCATTGACGAAGATAAACCCTCAGCACAGAATTCTCGACAACTTTCAAAGAAGATGAGCCGCGCTGGCGATTCCAGTAAACTGGGAAGGTCGCGTAGCGCGTCGCCTCATCGTGCTGACAACAGTATAGGTTTACCTTTTTTGATTCATGAGGGAGTTTCAGCAAAACGGACTATTTCTAACAAGAAGAATCCTTACAGTAGACCCCAACAAAGAGTGAAGAGATGTAGAGCATGATGCTTGTGTCATAGGCTTCTCAGTTCTATGCCGACATCGGTGTACGGGTGATACACATGGATCATGTAAGTCCCCTTTTTACGGGCCTTGGTAGCAGGAACCTCTGGGATACCTGTATTACTGTATGATTAACTTTATGTGCGTCTAGGCCTTTAACAAAAGGGGCCAAACAATGTAGAACACGCCCTAGTTATCAGCGTTTGTTACCTCAGCGCTCTGCGCTATTCTGGAAGCTGGCTGAAACTCTAGGATTTTTTGGCATGAGCAGACGATCCACCTAGATCAGGGTTTGGGGTTTACAGTCTTTGTGGTGTCAAAACTGTGCGCATGGATGATGGGTGGACATCCCAGTGGCTTCCAAGGATGAATGGGGTGGATCACTCATGGCCAAGGACTGCTTCTACAGGAGCTTTCTTGCTTTGAGTTGACCACCCGTTCTCCAGCGCTTTCCGGGCGGGGCTGGGTACGACTGATTAGGAGCTCCGCACGATATCTCGCCAGAACCCTTCTCCAGCAGACCTTCAACGATTGCGGCGAACTTAGAATCACCATGTCTCACCTCTAAATCCTCAAGCCCAGCGCAAATTATCCGCTGCGATATCTCTGGGGCAAGCACAAAGGCGGCTGTAAACCTGGTCAAGGCTTCAGCTAGACTCGTCAAATCAAGAGGCCGCCCAGGTGCTCCGAGTCGAGTATTACTCAGGATGCCAGGCTTTTTATTCTTGCCTCCCGTTATGCATGCTTGCAGGGTTTAGGGCTTCTGTAGGAGACCCCGTGCCGGGGCACCAGCATTCCCCATCATAAAGATAGGGCAGCGAATCGGAAGCTACAAGTCGCAGATAAGAACCCCAAAGCATTGCCCGACACGATGAAAGGACCAGTGTTGTCAAAACCAATGCTACACCACAAAGACACCATATTCTAAGGCCTGCCTGCGCTCCACCGTAGGCCGGCGTGATGACCTCGAACTGAACTGGTTACGTACATCTACCATGGGCTTTCCCTGAGAGCCCAATACCCCTTAATTAATCCGAGCATCTGATTAACAAAATCCCTCACATTTAAAGAAACTTTTTCGGCCCCTGAGTGGCTCCGAAGAGGCGTTTCCATTACGTGAGGATTTGGTCGGATTTGGTCTGGGGAAAATCCCTCACATTTAAAGAAACTTTTTGGGGCAAGTACTTTTAGTAGGGTCCAAAGCGCTGCACGAGCTCTTCATTTCTGTCACTGGAGCTGCTCGCCGATCTCCAGTCTGTTGGTGCAGTTAGCTTGATACTGCACTGCTGTGAAAAAAATCTGCATCCGCTTTTTCCAAAAGTTCAGGGATTTCAGAAAGCTAGCTTTCCTTTTGATTCGCTTATCCGGGGAAGGCAATTTTTCATTCTCTGCTGAGCTACCCCTTACGGGGCCTGCCCGGAAAACATCGACTCACATTTATAAAAGGGGTCACATTTGTAAGAAGCCGGCCGGTCCCGGCCCAGCTGTGCCTGCAGTCTTTGCCATTGCTTGCTTGCCTTTTAATACACAAGCAAAGCGTCTGTGGGAACCGGCCCTTTGCCTTTGAGCAGAAGCTGCCCTCCGAGGCCAAGCTTTTTCCAGAAGTTCAGGGATCTCAGAGAGCTAGCTTTCCTTATTGATTCGCTTATCCGGGGAAGCAATTTTTCATTCTCTGCTGAGCTACCCCTTACGGGGCCTGCCCGGAAAAACATCGACTCACATTTATAAAATGGTCACATTTGTAAGAAGCCGGCCGGTCCCGGCCCAGCTGTGCATGCAGTCTTTGCCATTGCTTGCTTGCCTTTTAATACACAAGCAAAGCGTCTGTGGGAACCGGCCCTTTGCCTTTGAGCAGAAGCTGCCCTCCGAGGCCAAGCTTTTTCCAGAAGTTCAGGGATTTCAGAAAGCTAGCTTTCCTTATTGATTCGCTTATCCGGGGAAGCAATTTTTCATTCTCTCCTGAGCTACCCCTTACGGGGCCTGCCCGGAACAACATCGACTCACATTTATAAAAGGGGTCACATTTGTAGGAAGCCGGCCGGTCCCGGCCCAGCTGTGCCTGCAGTCTTTGCCATTGCTTGCTTGCTTCTTTAATACACAAGCAAAGCTTCTGTGGGAACCGGCCCTTTGCCTTTGAGCAGAAGCTGCCCTCCGAGGCCAAGCTTTTTCCAAAAGTTCGGGGATCTCAGAAAGCTAGCTTTCCTTATTGATTCGCTTGTCCGGGGGAGCAATTTTTCATTCTCTCCTGAGCTACCCCTTACGGGGCCTGCCCGGAAAAACATCGACTCAC